TTTCCCTACTCATTTACATCAATTAGATATTAGGGATTATTGATCCTCTCCATGCATCATTAATGCCTTCGATTCCAAAGAAGCGTTCTTCCCAACTACATAATTTTGTCACATGTTTGTCCTTATTCTTGTGGTCTAGCAATGTGTTTGGCTCGTTCATGGACACATTGCATTTGCCCTCATCCTTTTTCTAATGTTCTCGCCTTGATAGAACTCTACCAGCATACAAAACCCAATACACTCAACACTTCAATCCTGCATAATATCCCACCCCTAGACCCAATCACAACACTTTCCATTTTGTTGTTCCACATGATCCAGCTTCCTCGCATGCCTTAAAAATAAATCATGATGAGGCATTGTGCCTTAGCTTGACAAGAATCTATGACATGCCACCATGCTTCTATGTTGATATGCTTAGTTGTGTTGTCTTTGCACCTAGGCCTACCTAGGAGTTCATGTTCTTCAGCACACCACCGTGCTTTCACTCCCTTGCCACATTGTTTTTAATTAAAAATCGAGTGCACTCTTCATCCCATGTTGCACCCACCCCACCAATAACTTACCTTGACCTTGGGCCCCATCAACACCTACAACATACCCCAATCATGCTCACACCACCGCATTGTTTATACCCGCTGCATGCACCCATTCCCTTATCATTGCATTGCTTTGAGAACCCTTAAAATCCTGCCAGTAGCTTCCAAAATGTTCTTCGCATTAATAAAGTAACAATTATGATTTAACATTAATATCTCTAAGAAGTAAGAAATCTTCAATAAACTTCAACAGACAACTTTTTTCGCTTAATCACATTGTCCAAGTCTTCATCAAATAAATATAAAAGATGACTGATAATAACATCATCAATTTCCTAATTCTTGATCACAAGCTTTGTGAATTTTCTCATCCATATTCTGCACGTTGGTACAGCCAAGAAAATTAACTTGCTCAAAATGCTAAGCTTATATATTAAAGATAAATGATATGTACTACAACTTGCCTATGAAGTTATACATTATGGAATTATTACTACTATTTTGTTGCCATGTCATGGGCATAAGCATCTAATTTAGAAATCTATGCTGGATATAATTTAACATTGCCTAAAGATGATTAGACAAATTATTGCAAATCTCACATGTGAGTTGAAGAATCAAATAGTTATCATCACGGAAATGATGATAGTCCCAGATCATATTAATATTACCATGATCATTCTTCAAGACATTCATAGTCAATAACAAATCTGGATTGATATAGTGAGTATTGTGTGGATTATTGTCCTCCCGGATATAAATCATATTAAGATCAACATCAGCACTGTGAATATAATGACCATGACTCCACTTCTTATTTACCATCGTTCTCACCATGCATATGTGAAACAAAAACAAAAACATGCATGCAATATTTCATAATTTAAGCATATAGCACATGACGTCCTTCCACAACCACAAATCCAGATAGCAACACAACAACCATCAAATCCTTCACAAATTTGGACCTGTCCAATTGAGGATGTGCACAAAGATAATGTTTGGCACTATAAATGAGTTTTCAAACGATAATGATGATGATGATGTGGTGGTGGTGATGATCACCTTGAAATTTATCAAACGCCTGAGATTGTGCTTGAGTCAAAGCTCAAATTTTCTATAATGATTGATCATAATCCTGAGCTTGCACCACTTACATTAATCATTGCTGCACAAAAGACATCAGAGATGACACATTGAGATCATGCACAAAGTGATAGCAATGTGAATACTTTCAGTTAAGTTCACACTTCCACTTCCATAACAATTATGCTGCAAATAGATCATATTATTCATTTTAGATCTGAGACAATTCTCAACCAGCTGCATTTGTCATTTTTTATCGCCTCCCATAAGACAGCCTAAAACATGTGCATGAACAATCTCCACCATCTGCACCATGACATGAAACAGCAAACTCTTTAGAGGAAGAGTATTCTCAACCACGAGAGAACTAATGTTGGACAAATTGGGTTTGTTCTATTTTTACAGTATTATAGTCAAGTATTACCACAGTTTTCGATTGTATTCGCAATTTTTTCAATTTATATGAGTTTTCATGTAGAAGGTTACTTCTCCTTTTCATTCAAGGAAATCACGTGCCTAAGACTTTGAATGAATTAAAGAAGAATATTGAATTGAGTTTCCTCCTAAGCCTAGTTGCCAAGTACCCCCTCTATTTTTAGTCTGTCTACCTCCATCCCTTTCTCTTTTCAGCAACCATTCTTCCTTCTCTTCCCATGTTCGTTTGCATTAATTGGAGTAACATTCCTTGTTGCAACTCAAAAAAACATAAACTGACTGCATACAAAACTAATGCACTATCATGACAGCCAATAGCAGCACTTGTTTTTCTGGAAATGAACTTCTGCTGCTGCTGATAAAAAGGATAAAGATGGTGCTGAAATGAAAAGGGAAACAGTAAAATATGCAAAAACTTAATTCAATGCAGATGTGCTAAACGATGCAGATATAAGATTTGAAAAACAAGAAGTATCACACAAAATACAGGTTGTCTTGGCATCAAATAAAGATAATTTGGACTAAAGAAGGATGCCTGCACAAATGAAAGAAAAGTTTTAGACGTTCAGTAATCAGTTATATCTAAAAGAGACAAATTTATCAAGTATGGCGGACTTGGAGATTTAACTGCTGCTGCTCAAAACTTGATGAGAGTTCAATGACAAGCAGCTTCCTTGCATGTGCAGCATTAACAAAATGTTTGGAAATTAATTTAATATCACCAAGCGGATAGAATTATTCCTCAAAATCAAGTACTAGAGGAAAATGACAGTGAGCAAATGTTTTCAGACAATCTATAGAAGAAAATTTAACCTGAAATTGATGTGCTGTTAACAATATTTAAGAGATGAATAGGTTTCTGCCTCAAAAAGTTGATCAAAACACAACTTTAGCCATAAGCACTCTCTTCTAGGAGTTCTCTAAAAATATAATTAAATATGGACAAATAAAAGGTTTATTTGGATCAAAATAATGAAAAAAGAAGCAAAAAAGTGCAATTCTTACATTAGAACTTCCAGTTAAAAAAATATATATAGTGGCAATAGTCAATAAAATTATAAAGCTGACCTCTAGGGTAGAATGACAATCAGTGACAACATGAAATATTGCATCTAGTCCTTTAAGCTCTCTAAAACTTTCTTTAAAATTTCCCCAAACCTTTTCAGTCATCTCAGTCATGTCTGAAAGAGAACCATGACAAAGCAGAATTCAGAATAATGAGCATTCATAAATCAGAGCTGCACCCGGCACACTATACATAATATTACATGGTTAAATTATTCATAACGGGAAGCAAATGATTGGTGTGAGGTCATAATAAACATGAGCAGAATAAAATACAAAGGATGAAAGCCTGCTTTCTTACACTAAATGGAAACTTCATGCAAGATAATTGTGAAAGGCATGTGGCTTCTATATGAGTGCCATTTGGATCACATGATCACAACCACATTTCTCTATTCAAACTTGAAAACTATGCTATAAATGATACATTTTTCAACTTCCAAATAGATGTTCTAGGCTATGAGCATGAAAATAAAAAACTTCCACCAACTATTCTATTTTAGCTCAAATCTGATGACAATTTCATGCCACAGGTGAAAGTCATAAATTAGAATTATTTTTAGATCAAATTCGGCTTCCACAAGGCTAGCAAGGCAATATCTTAAAGAACTAATCCCCTTTCCTTCATGCCCATAACAAGGGGCTGTCATGCATGAATAGCCAAGGCAGTAAGCAAGCATGTAAGGCAATTCGTAGGATATTTATATAGCAAATATCTTACATTTTTAAAATGCAATGTAGTATGATTGCAAGATTCCAATTCCTTTAAGCTCTTCGTAAATGAATCATAATTTCCATCCCATAATGTGAATTTTGAATAATCTTTTTTTCTCACTGAATACATAGATAATTCACCTATAAATAGGTGAGTACAAGAGATAAAAAGAGGAAAGAAATCTTCCTACAATAAAGTAATTCCTATAATTATGGAATAAACATAAATACCTATAATTAAGGAATTACTCTTTTTATACTATGACTAAATATAGCAAGTACTAAATAGAATTAAAGTAAATAACAATAAGGAGCATAATTCCACACTCCCCCTCAAGGTGGGTTGTACAGATTGTACATG